CTTGGTTTACACACTGTGCACCTGACCTGCCTCTAAAACCTGCAAAACTCAGTTTGTTCTACAGTTTCTCCCAGAACAAAAAAAGGAAAGACCGCACCAATTGCAAGCTCTTCTATTTCAGCAAACTGACTTTGTTTCCAAATGGACCATCCTCAGCTCATGGAACTTCTCCAGAAAAAGATAAATATAACTATAATATGCCTTTCTCAGTCTAACCTCCAAGAAAATTAGAAGCCCTGTTTCTGTGTCATTCAGAAATGCACGTGGTATTTTGCATCCAATTCACCCACTAGTTTGTTTGCTAGTGGGTGAATCTGAGGCAGCCTCGCATATTTATTTAGTTCTGATCTTTCTGTCTTCTCCAGATATAGAACAAAAAAAGATGAGAGACAGGACCAAAAATAGTTCACCATCTTGTGCAACTACTTTAGACATTTATAAGAAAAGCTTATGGTCCACGTCTCCTTGATACACATTAGAGTGGAATGCAGTCTCATGCTTTGGCTGCTGATACATTATCTGAAGAGGTTTAGATGATAACCTCTTTAGATTTCTTTAAAACCTGTTTCTTTAAACAGGATTTAAAGAAAACAAATATGGATTTGAATAACGGGACCTCACCTGACCAAAATATTAAATGTCATCTGCATCATTACTAGCAGAACATGCTGTTGCCTTTCAAGAACTGGTTGAACGAATGACATTCACACTTAATTTCTTAAGGTGTGTCCAGATAAGTGAGCATGTATGGTTTTCATCACCTTAAACCCATCTGCAGTGTCACAAATCATACATGCTACACATGCACACATTTGTTGCACTGCTGATTTGTAGTGTGGCATGTTTTTTTTGACACTGGGAGATCCTGGTGTCAAAAAAAACTGCGGCAGAAAAGGGCGGGGTGGCACACGTGGCGGCTGTGTGTGCTGTCCAGAACCAGAGCTTGGCTGGCCAGAGCCATGTTCCGGCTGCTGACCGGGCTCTGTGTGCCCAGATTGCCACTGCTATGTCCCCATGAGGCCCCCAGGACTCCAAGTAAGGCTTCTGGGGCCAGCCCAGGTGCTGGCCCTAGCCTTCCCTACCCCATCTAGGGCAATTTTCCGTGCACCACAGCATGCATGCAGGGGCATTCCCTGAGGACAGGTAGCAGCAGCACAAATATTTGTCCCTGGAGAAATGCATGTTCTTGCTCTTGGGGACACACCCTAAGCTTCCTTTGTAGAGGAGACTTCAGACCAAATCTTCAATATCCAGGCTTCTCACTCAACCATTAGGTTTCCATCTTGTATTTGTTCACTTACTCCACTTATGTTAAATATGCTCCTTAACAGTATATAAAAAAACAAATTGTATCTGCTTTTGAAGAGAATGTTTCTTACTTCCATATGCATCTTGTAGCCTATGCTTTGGTAGGAGAGGTAAAAGATCAATAGGAGGATCAAAGATAAAAACAGAAGTATATGGAAGTAAGAAAGGTTAAAATAGATCAAAAGTAAGGTAGTTGATCAAAGGGAACATTGATTTATTCTATTCCTTCACATAAAGAAGGACAAGAAAGCTGATATTTTTAACAGTTTCTTTGCCTCTGTTTTCTTGAACAGGGACCGGGATATCCCACCTACCAGAGGTAGGGGCAGTCTTGGCGATAGCTCTGTCAGGCCTTCAGCCAGTGCAGATGTAGTTAGGGATCTTCTGGAAGGGCTAGACATTTTTAAATCTGCAGGTCCAGATGCCCTCCACCCAAGGGTGTTGAGGGAGCTGGCAGGGGTCATTGCAGAGCCCCTGGCCCGGTTGTATGAGCATTCGTGGTCACCTGGCTAGGTACTGGGGGATTGGAAACTGGCTAATGTGGTCCCAATTTTCAAGAAGGAAGGAGGGAGGACCCAGGTAACTATAGGCCCGTAAGCCTCACCTTGGTGCTCGGGAAGATCTTGGAGAGAATCATCAAGGAGCACATCTGTGGGAGGCCAGCAAGAGAGAGCATGCTCAGGGGCAATCAGCATGGGTTCATCAAAGGCAGGTCCCGCCTGACCAACCTGGTTGCCTTTTATGACCAGGTGACTAAATCCTTGGATGATGGTGTTACCATAGACATAGTCTTTCTAGACTTTAAGGAGGCCTTTGACACTGTCTCTCACCCCATCCTCATCAATAAGTTAAGCGACTGTGGCATTGATGCCTACACAGTTGGATGGGTAAAAAATTGGCTGATGGGGTGCACCCAGAGCATAGTGGTGGACAGGTTGTACTCAACCAGGTGAGATGTGAGCGGTGGGGTTCCCCAGGGCTCGGTCTAACATCTTCATCAGTGACTTGGATGAGGGGGTGGAAAGCACGGTATCCAAGTTTGCTGATGACACTAAGGTGTGGGGCAAGGTGGACACACTTGAAAGGAGAGAGAGGCTGCAAATAGATTTAGATGGACTACAAAAGTGGGCAGATAAGAATAGGATGGGGTTCAATGTGGACAAATGCAGGGTGCTGCGCCTTGGGAGAAGGAATCCACAGCATACGTACAGACTGGGGAGTTCCCCTTAAAAAAGCACAGAGCCGGAAAGGGATCTTGGAGTCATTACTGACTCCAAGATGAACATGAGCCACCAATGCCAGACTGTAGCCAGCAAGGCCAGCCATACCTTGTCATGCATCCAAAGATGCATCTCAAGCCGGTCCAGAGAGATGATACTCCCCCTCTATGCGACTTCGGTCAGGCTGCAGGTGGAGTACTGCGTCCAGTACTGGGCAATGCACTTCAAAAGGGATGTGGCTAGCCTGGAGAGGGTTGAGAGGAGGGCCACACACTTGGTGAGAGGGCAGCAGGACAGGCCCTATGAGGAGAGACTGAGGGACGTGAACATGTTCAGCCTCAGAAAAAGGAGGCTGAGGGGGGACCTGGTGGCTGCCTACAAGCTCATCAGGGGAGATCAACAGTAAACAGGTAGAGCCATTTTCTCCCGAGCACCACCTGGGGTGACAAGGAACAATGGTAATAAGCTGATGGAAGTTAGAGATCAGAAGGCAATATTTTATACTTAGGGTGGCCAAAATCTAGAACCAACTTCCCAGGGAAGTAGTCCTTGCCCCTGCCTTGGGCAAATTCAAGAGGATGATCACCTCTCTGGGGTCTTGTGAACCCAGCATTCATTCCTGCCTGTGGCAGGGGGTCAGGCTAGATGATCTGTTCAGGTCCCTCCTGCCCCTAGCTACTATGAAACTATGAAAGATGTGGTAAATGGGCAGATATATTGAGAAAAAATGTGTTTTGTTCAATTTTTCAAGCATTTCATAAAATCAAAGAAGTAGGGTGGGACCTTGTAGATCTTCAAGTCCAACCCCCTGCCTGCGCAGGA